GAGGTCCAACATGAGCAGAAATCCCCAGCCAAAGATGTAGTGCACAGCACAGAGGGTGCTGTATCGCTAGAGAATGAGAATGAGGAAGATGAGGAGGGCGAGCAAAGAGCCCAAATAGAGGATCAGGATGCAGATGATGAAGATGACCGCCACAGCAAGACAGCAGGGCCAGAGAATAATGCAGAAGACCTGGAAGAGAGTTCGAAAGACTTACCCAAATGCACGCCAACTTTTTTAGATGCAAAAGAAGACAATGACTCTGAGTTGAGTCAGCAGGTTTCTACAGTACTCTGTAGTGAAGCGGAACCAGCTACTGCTACAGAAAGCATCCAGGATAGCGCGCCGGCAGAACCATCAGAAGCAACACCGGCACCTGAAGCAGCAGCAGTCACTTCAAAAGCAGCTGTAGACTCTGATAATCCTGCAGACTCTGAGTCAGAGGAAGAGAGTTTGCATAGTCCTTGTCCAGAACACCACCTGCCTCTTCCGCCTGCAGAGAGGCCAATACTCAATCCCATGCTGAGGGAGGATCCCCCAGTCTGCACAGAGATTGACTCAGAGACAGCCCAAGCTGTTCAGTCCCTGACGCAGGAGACCGAGCGGGAGAAGGTTTTCCAGGACTGCGTGGAGAGCCAGGAGCCCTGCAGGAACCTGCAAACGTATGCCCATGTGAGCCAGAGCCCCCAGATCACCTCGCTGGACGACTGTCCTCAGTCAGATCACAGCAGCCCCCTTTCCTCTGCGCACTCCCATCCCAGCCAATCAGTACGCTCAGTTAACAGCCCAGCTGTCTCCATCCTGGACAGTGGCTACACGCAGATCAGCCCTGACCACAGTGCCATCTCAGTGCCGTCGCTCCATAATATGGAGACAAGTCCCATGATGGATGTACCGTCGGTGTCGGATCACTCGCAGCAGGTGGTGGACAGTGGCTTCAGCGATCTGGGCAGCATTGAGAGTACGACAGAGAACTACGAGAACCCCAGCAGCTACGACTCCACCATGGGCCAGAACAGCTGCTCATACGGCAGCATCCCCCCTAGCGGCCTGCCCCAGAGCAGCTGCGCCGTGAGCCAACAAATGGCTGCCGTTAACCCCGGCAGCTGCGGGATGATCCAGCAGAACAGCCTGAGCTCACCGCCGCACTGCAACGTCAAGTCACCGCAGGGCTGCGTCGTGGTTGAGAGGCCTCCGAGCAACAGCCAGCACAACCAGCACAGTCAACACAGCCAGCGCAGCCAACACAATCAACACACCTCCCACAGCAGGCACGGCCCACACAATCAGCACACCCAACACAATCAGCACGGTCCACACAATCAGCTTACCCAGCACACTCAACACAATCCCCACAACCAGCATAGCCACCACCACAATCATCACCTGCAGCACAATCAGCTCAGCCAGCACAATCCGCATGCTCAGCATAGCCTTCACAATCAGCACGGTCAGCACAGCCAGCAGCAGTCTATGACTCAGTGCGCCATACCCACCAATTTCGCCACCACCATGCAGCTGGCAGACATCCCTGAATCTGGCAACCAAAACTTTACCCTCTATGAGAGGATCAACCACCAGGGGGAGTATGGCAGCGGGCACTATTCTCAGTCCTCTGGCCTTAGTCTCGCCAAATTGCAACAATTTACCAACACATTCATAGAGCACCCTCACTCGCTGCCTTTCAACCACACGGCCTCACACCCCATCACATCATACGCCAACACCCCCTCATTATCATCGCAGCACTCTAGCCTGGTATCCTTGTCCCAGACGCCACATCGAGTCCCCAACCCACAGGTGCAGGCCACCGTGACCCCGTCCCCGAATCTCAGCTCACCGCCACCCATGATGCTACAGCGCAACATGGGCATCCCGCACTCGCAGCGGATCCAGCCTCAGATGGCCTCCAAAAATCACATCTCTGCACGCTCCAAGTCGGCCTCGCTGTCGCACCACCAGCAGCAGATGTACCCCCGGCCGCCACAGGCTGTCGCCATGCAGGCGCCATCCAGGACGCTGGCCGCCATGCCACGCATGAACATGAGCATGAACATCATGCCGGCACCAGCCTACAACGTCAACTCCATGAACATGCCCTCCCTCAACGCCATGAACGGCTACAGCATGAGCCAGCCCATGATGAACAGTGGCTACCATGGCAACCATGCCTATATGAACCAGTCACCCCAGTACTCTATGCAGATGGGCATGATGGGAACACAGCCATACCCCCAGCAGCCCATGCAGGCTCCACCACATGGCAACATGGTGTACACTCCAGCTGGGCACCATGGCTACATGGACACAGGCATATCCAAGCAGTCCCTGAAAGGGCCTTTCATCAGGCGGTAACTGTCCGCAGGACTGAGCTGCTTCTCCTCGTGTGCATTTTGCTGTTAAAAGATGCACTGATTTGGCCTTTTCCCTTTTTTCTTTATTTCTTTTTGTGTGTGTGTGTGTGTGTCTCTTTATTTTTCCTTTTTTTTTTTTTTTTTTTCTTGTTGTTGTTATTGTTAATGACTTATTAAAAAAACCAGCAGAAGCAGCAGCACTTGGAAAGAATGCAAAAAATTTCATCAGTGAGTAAACTTTGAAGTTAATGTTTGAAAAGTATTTTTTGTTCCTCCAGATGGGAAGCCTTACATCATTATGATGAAAATCTATTTAATTAGTGTTAGTGTCTCTGATGTGTCTTTAGACCAGGCGGGTTCAGAGCTCACAGGTAGAGATTTCATCAGTGGTCTTGTGTAGCAGCCTCAAATGAAGCCATTTAACGTGCCTGCTACAGGTGGAGATAGTGGCTGTTTGAACCTGTTCAGTGTACCTGTCTAACAGTGCTGACAGTTAGTTTGTACTATACTCATGCCTTTGTATATTTAAATTATTGTACTTATTTTGTAAAGTGACAACTAGCATGCTTCAGTCTCTGTTAGTGACAGTGCATTGAGTAGTACTGTACAAGTGTTGTGCTTAATAGCAAGCCATTTTAAAAATATCTGGCCTTTACTAGGTTTCCCTCTATGGGGAGAAAGATGAAAAACTATATTTTGTTAATTCTAATAATGTAAAAAAAATATGTAAACTTAGTCTTGTTTTCTGTTTGGTTTGAGAGGTTTTATTGCTATGTATGTATAATTCTGAAGTCTTTTGTAACAGATCTCCTTGAGGCAGCTTTCTGTTTAATAAAGCAGACTGATTTCTGTCAAAGTAACAAAGCATATCTCAGTGTTTTTACCCTGAAAAATTCTAAAACATTTCGAAATGTCCAGAAGTGTGGCAGAATTTAAAAAAAAAAAAGAACTAAATGATTATAATGATGAATAACAATAAAGAAAATATAAATTTAGTCCAAAGTCGATATTTTACATAATGCCTTTAAAGCTACGTTTTCATTCCATCTGTAGATTTGTTTTCTATCTTTATAAAATGTTGGATTTATATTTTACCGAAGTGTAGAAGAATAGATCCTGTGAATAGACCAAACTAAGCTAATGGATTGCATGTAAAACGCAACTTGTACTTGTGTTTTTGTTTATATTGCTCTTTTGTAATCTTTCTACCTGTACAGAGTTGCTGGTAAGAACGGGGGGAAATACCTGGCTATGTGCACACAAATCGGACAGAATGACATTCTTGTATTTATGACTTTTCTCCTTTTTGTCAGTCACTTAAAATGCTGTACATTTTAGCATAAGAATAAATTATGATTGACCATGTACTTCACTGTTCCGCTTTTAATTTCAAAACATGCGTGTCGCAGAACCCAGCGGTAGATTTTGAAGGGTTGTGGTAATCCAGGCAGGTGTTTTTTCCTGGAGATTTGCTAGGACGGGGCTGAGGCTTAACTTGATTTGCACTCAAAATACTTATGAGTCGGGCTTTAGTAGACCTGATCCTCGAGTAGGACATTTATTCAGTGATCTGAGAGCCAACTTGGATTTCTCACTATGATTTGCAGTTTGGTTTGAGACTGTCCCTGATATATAGTCATGTGAAAAACTCAAGTGCACCCCGTGATTCATTTGCTTGTACAACCACCTTCAGCAGCAATAACGTGACGTAATCATTCTCTGTTTGACTTTATCAGGCGCTCACATCTTTGTGAGGGACTTTTGGCCCACTGTTCTTCAGTTCACTGAGGTTTGCAGCTGTCTTAAACTCCCGCCACAGCATTTCAATCAGGTTGAGGTCTGGACTTTGACTTGACCATTGCAACACCTTAATTATTTTCCTTCTTAGCCATTCTTTTGGAGACTTGCTGCTGTGTTCTGGATCATTGCCCTATTGCATGATACATTTTGGGCCAAGCTTTAGTGGCTGAACTGATGGCCTCATATTTGACCTGAGAACATTTTGATATACACAGTTCATACATAGTTGAATCAATGGTTGCAAGGTGTCCCGGTCCTGTGGCTACAGAAACAGCCCAAATCATGACCTCTCCACCGCCGTGCTTCACATTTAACATGAGATGTTTGTGCTGATATGCTGTGTTTGGTTTTCTCCAAATACGTTTCTGTGCATTATGACCAAACATCCCCACTTTGCTCTTGTCTGTTCCAGTGTTTTTAGAAAGTTTTAGTCTTTTTCTAACTAAACTGTCAAGACCTTTGACATATAACATGCTAATGGATTCCTGCAGAGTCTGAGATCTAGCTCTTCGAGGTTTTTGTTTGCAATTTCTCTGACATCTCTGTGAATTTACCAGGACATCAGCTCCCAGGAAGATGTTGTGAACAATACTTCTCACTGTACAATGATGGACTCTTAGGTTGCATGGAAAAAAGCCTCATAACTGTTCTGAGATTGATGGGCAGCAACAGTTGCTGATGTCGTTCCTCCTTGGCATTGTGTTAACGCACAGCTGAATGCCTCCAGACCAACAAACCGCCCATACTTCTGTTTTTATAGAGGTGCTCAAATTGCTGATGATTAGCAGCACCTGGTTGCTACTTACCCCTGACTTTACTTTTATTCCTATGGAAGCAGTAAAGCTGTACTTAGTTTTAATAGGACTTTATTTTTTTCACATGGCTGTAACTCCTAGCATGACGAAGTCTTAATGGCTGGGATTTGACTTAGTCTCCGCTGACTTTAGTCTCAGACTGATCAGCCACACAATCAGCTTTCCCCTGCAGATTCCCCCCTTTTCTCCAAGAGGTGCTGATCCAGCTCTCGCAGCTGCTTCAAAAAGCCCCAGTTAGGGATGATACGCCTGCGTTTTTTTACGTGCTCTATGGCGTCGACCACAGTCATGTTCTCACAGATCATGAGATAGGCGAGGAAAAGTGTGGCGGACCGACTCCTTCCCATCACGCAGTGCACCAGCAGTTTATCTGCAGACAAATCGGAGAACAGATTCACGACATGTTTTAGGCAATTTTCAGCCAAAATATTCGTTTTTTCCTGTGCAGCTGTCTTACTCTGAGGATTGCTCAGTGTCTTCTCAATAAACTGGGCAGCGGAGAAGAAATACTGACTGAGGTCAAAGGTTGCGACGTCTTCTGCTACTACACCGTAGTATACAATGTCCATGTCACTGTAGTAGCCAGCTCCAGTGTCCACGTTGTTCCACGTCCCCTCTGCTGCATTCAGGATGTGCGTAATTCCCAGCTTCTTCAGTGTGTACTTGTCCTTTGCAGTGTCCCTACAAGAAGCCAGTGTCAGTATCATTTTAATCCTGTTATTTTTATTCAGTTTAGACATTTTATGCTTTTAGAAAAACTTTTTCTTACTTACTCATCGCCAATAAAGACATTAGGCCAAACCTCGTTGACATGAGTGTAAGCCACACTCCCTCGGTTGAGGATTTTCTCCAACTCATAGCCCCCAGGTGTGGAATAATCATCCACTGGACTGGATTCCTCAGCTGCCCGAGTAACATTTATCTTTGTGCCAGTCTTCGACTCGCGAGAAGCCATTTTCTCACCGTGGCTTCCTCTCACACATGATTTATTTGCTTAAGGAGAAAAAGAAATGCCACATTTGCTTTTTTTATTTTTTCTTATATTCCTCCACCCCTCAAACTACTGTCATAAAAAAGCACAGTTTTTGCTTTTTTTGTTTTTCACATGCATCTTCAGCAGCACTCACCCGGAGATTGAAGTCCTTCGTTTTTCTTCCCGGGAATTTGGTTTTCATCATTCTGGCAGCTGGTTGTGAAGCAGCCCTTGAAGGCAGAACATGGTAAGGTTTTAGTTCTGGCAGGCTCAAGTCAGGGCACAGATTGTATAACCGCTCTGTGACGGGCATCAAATGCAGAGGATATTTTTAGGGCTGTGATGTGGCGGGCCCCTGACCTTAGCTGCCACGTTCTCTGCCTGTGGGGAAAACTTCCACCCAGCCAGTCCCTGCCATCCACTTCTGAACACACAACTTTAATCTCTGCTGCTGGCAGGAAGCTGTGCTTATCCAAACTTTGCACTTGCCAAAGGATACCCATATTCACTGGAGTAAACAGGGCACTCTGAGCTTTTGCTCAACCGTACGAGCAAGTCCTTGAAATTGTGTCAGTCTCTCTTAGCCTTTCTGCATATCTTCAGACGCTGGGAGAAGCTGTGTAAGCACAGCCTCACAACACCCGTTAAGGATGTTCAGCATCTTCTGGAGCCTCTCGGGGGCCAAAAGAGAACTGAAATGTGTCAGACTGTTAGACAGATGAGGTTTTTCGCAAGATGGCACACGTCTTTGATTCCCCATTATATGATATGCACAGTCCATTCAGTGATCTAAATGCAAGCCCCCAAAGTGAGAGTGTGATGATGGCTGTATTGCAGGATGGCTAGATGAAGCTGCTAACATGTCAGACAGAGTTTTCACACCATCAAACTCCTTTATTTTTCCCTCATATCTTCCTACTCTGCCATCATTCATTCTGACAGTGAAATCATTAAACCTGTGATATCCAATTCCTTTTATTTTGACAGCATCTCTCTCCCAGCGAGCTCTGGAGAGCATCTCTTATTAAGATGGCTTCAGTGTTTCATCTCTTTTCAAAGTCTGACCTGAATCTGTATACATGCTCAGAAAGCACGCTGGCATATTTTTGTCATCTTGTATCAAGACTCTTTAGACACATCACAGTTTTAACTGTACGTCACTGGATTGTAGCAGTTAGGACGCAGTATTTTGAGAAATGTGAATAAGTAAGTGGAGCATTGTTTATTTATAAGCATGCACTGTCTGTGTGTTGTTCCAGTACAGCAGGGGTCTTGATCTTGATTGTGCCGCGCTTAAGACGTGAGCCTAAAGGCCCATGCCGCTGTTTTTTTGCACATTTAGCTCCTTGCGTGCTTTGCGTTACCGGTGAACAGGTCAAGTATGAAGAAGTGGAGAGGAAGATGTTCAGATTTAAAATCTGAATATAATACAGATTAATATAACACAAATATTTGCTTTTTTTGTAATTTGCCCTAGTCTGTCGAGATCTAAAGTCTGTAGCACTTTGTGCCAGTGATCAGGAGCAGAGATAAGAGGTGGCCAAGGGTGGCCCTGGCCCCCACAGAGTTTGCAGGTCACAGAAAAGTCTGGCTACCCCAAACACAACACACACTTTTTGCAAAATGATTTGTCTTCTGTTGTTGTTCCTACAATAAACAACAGCTTTTTTTTGTTTTTAATTAATCAAGGGTTATCGAAATATAAAGGAATGTTATATAGTACCGTGCAAAAGTCTTGAGCCATGCCTTCCTTTTTTAACTTGAAAATTGAAAATGGGAACTGCGTGCAGTGAAACATTTGCACACTGAAACGTGCAAACATACATGGAAATATAGTATTTAAGGCAAAAACGGAATTCTAATGAGCTTTAAAGTCAAAGTATTTGGTATTTAGTCTTTGATACAGTCTGAACAATCTAAGAAAGTCTTCTTGTCAAATCGTCTCCAGGCCTCTTGAAGGACATTCAAAGCTCTTCTTTGGATTCTGGCTGCTATTTAGTCTGTTCTCTGTCAAGATGATCCCACACTGCTTCAATAATGTTGAGGTCTGGGGAGGACCGATGTCATGACTGTATTTTTCTCTACGGATATGCTTTTGCTACATTTTACTACTTTTCCCTCATCCCGACTGGTCACAGCAGATGGCTGCTCTCCACAAACTGGTTTTGTCCATGATTTCCTCTTAAAAAGGAGGTTTCTTTCTCCAAGTGCTTGCACAGAGATCTGTGGCTCATCGGGTTAATGTGTGTCATTTTGAAGGGTGTTTATCTTGCAATATAAAACACTATTGTTAATAAATAAAGAGCAGTTTATTATTAATAACAATAATAGCAAAGAACCATCACTTTTTGTGACGTGTATGGCACTGTTTGAGCTGTGTAGTCCGCCATAGTGAGCAGTAATTGTGCATTCATTTTTATTAAAATTATAAAATAAGCTATTTTTTAAAATTTAGTCTAATCATAAACAGCATTATATTACAATATGAGCTTTTAATGCAATCAATTACACAGCTCATGCATGAGTGGGCTAATTGACTTTCATACGTTTCAATTATGGAAAACTGAGAAAAAAAGAAATCACCCAGAAATCTGCAGTGATGGATTCTGGTTTGTAAAATGGAGAATTGTAGTGTGAAAAACACAAAGAGATTAAAAAATAAGGCTTGAAATAGTCTTGTCTCAAATACAATGAGGTTCCGTTTGTGTCAAAAATGAACCGAACATGACAGGATTGAAGTCTTTTTAACTTTCAGCTAACTTTATTTTAGTGTTGACAAACCCTTTCTGACAGGCAGACTGTCTGTGCTGATCGCTCACCTGACAAAACATTTGTCTGTCAGTTCTACTTTGTGCTCTGCATGTTGTGTGTTTAAGTGTGCTATTATGAATGCTGATGTATCGCTCGACTAAGCTAAGCAAAATCCCATCAAGCCAAGTTGGATTACATGGTGCTTTAATTCACTTAAGATGCGAGTGCCCGAAGCCACCCAAATGGAGCCACCAGGACGATTTCATCTGCACAGATAATGCCAACTATGAAACTGTCCCCTTTTTGGCGTTATGTGCTCTACTACGTGAATAGGGATGAGTCCAGCTCACGGAGCTGGTTCAGAAATCCAACATTTGGGAGGATGTTTCTGTGCCGGCACACAACCTCCACAGCCTCCACCAGTGTGAGCCTTTCTTTGATCATGAGGAAGGCCAGCGTAAGAGCTGCCGAGCGGCTGATTCCCCGAGCGCAGTGGACGAGCACCTTCCCTGCACGGACAAAAGGCAGACTCTAAAATAAGCTGCGAATTCTGCGGCTCGTTGGGTTAAACACAAACAACAAAGGGATTAATTACAACTGTGGGCTCAGCTCACGGTGTAACAATCACAAAAGGTTCTTTTCACAGCAGAAATGATGACATATGATGGCACACACACAGGTGCTGTCATAGCAGTAATAGTGTTTACGTGTCCCTGTAGTAACTGCTCACAACTTTAACTCTCGTTACCATTTTAAATTGATTTTATTTCAAATTATTGTTCTTCTAAATGTTTGTGCAATGGGGAAAAATAGAAGCCTTACATTTTTAAAATAAAAGTTAAAAATAATAAAACATTGTGAAATTATTTTAGATTATAGAGAGCAGCTGGAGTCTCCGCACACGACCCAGAAGCAAAGGCAATTATTTATGTCTTCATGCATTTAAATATGTGCAACAAAACATAAAATATCATTATTATTTATCATTTTTCAGCTTGATGATGCATCATTTTTCTATATTAGGATGTGTTGGACTGTAACATATTATTAAAGCTCAATCCTTATGTGTTTATTTTGTCATGTGTTGCTAAAATAGACTGGTACCTTTTTGGCTCAGAGCACCATGAATAAAATCAGCCGTCTCACTGAAGAAAGGGCTCAAGTCAAAATCTTTACAGTCTGGTGCTTCTACTCCGTGATACAGTATGCTGGCGTCTGCGTAGAAACCTGGCCCGGTGTCAATGTGCTGGGGGCCATCTGCAGCATTCACCACGTGTGTTATTTCCAGTTTCGCTAACAGGGTTTTATCCCGAGCTGCAGCTCTGTAAATGACACAGGAGAGGCTATGAGAAATGTCATTTTTAGCGATTTTTCTCGCCTGTGTGCAGCTCTGGAAGCATATGTGTGTAAATGCATCACCGGTGACTCAAATGTACAGATTTTATATTTGTCCCATCAGTTGGCCAAATACACTTGTTTGCAGCGACACTTTCACAATCAGATCACCATATTGCAGTTAGAGGCCCCCAAAGTGAGAATGTCACTTACGCATCTCCGATGAGGAGGTTGGGCCAAACCTCGTTGACAGCTCCAGTGGGGCGTCTGTTCTTCAACAGAAGGCTGAGCAGATCGCAGGTGGGTGGTGTCTGATACTTTGGCTCCTCCTTTGAGGTCATATCTGTATCTCTCTCACCTCAGTGTTTTTATATAATTATCACTTTCACTCAACTCAGTACATAGATAAATAACTTTGCAAGATACTTTATGTTCCAGGATGCAAATGTTGATTATTACTGCTGTCCTGCTGGTGTTTCTTGCTGCAGGCTTTTGAGACAAACCAACAGCGAATACTAACCTTACTGGTGCGGCTCGCGCTGTTTTACATCTGAGCTGGATATCAGTGTTGTTTGGAGGCTGAGCCCCACTGGAACGAGACAGCTGAACATACCAGAGACTGGGCACAAGCAGTGTGGACTATTTATTCCTCAGATGACTGTGACAGAAGCCAGGCTGCTTGTGCTGTGATAAATTCGACTACTGAGCCGTTGCAGTTTTAATGGTTGTAATAGTGCAAGTGATCCAAAACATGGTGGGGAATTAATGTCAGGTTGCCACGCTGAACGAGCTCAAACCACAGTTTGAGCTCAAACCACAGTTTGAACTATTGCAGATGGTGTTGCTGTGTCTCTTTATTTTAAATCATCTGACGAGAATAAATGAATGACTTCCTATTTTGCCTGACGTTGTCGTCAACAAACTATTAAAGTCCCGTCTTTGATTGCATAGGTTGCTCCTGTCATTATGAAGAACACAAAGATTATATAAGCTACACTGAGAGTTGAATTTCTGGAGTGAAGGTCTGAGTCAGTATGTTAAGGATAATTTAAACTGCTGAGAGAAGCGAACCACACTGTGCTGTTGACAAGACAATCTTTAGGAAAGCGTACATTTAGCAGCTGCTTTTAAACTCTCCATCATATTTCATGAACTTCATTAGAAAACTGAGTTAAGTTTTAAAGAAAGTTCATGAAAATACAAAATAAATTCCTCACGTTTCTGTGTGTGCATTCCATATTATATAGACTAAACAAAATAATAGATGTTTTACAGGTGCAGTAGTAAATATTGGACGGGCAGAAAAAAAAGAAGAAAGAAGAAACTTTTTACAAAACTCTGTACACACTGACTGTTTTCATAGGAATTACGAGGTTAGGGCAGCAGCCAGGTGCTGCTAATCAAATGGATTTGATTAACTGATCATCAGCAGTGCAAGCGCCTCTGTAAAAGCAGGGCTTTGGCAGGCTTGTGTTAACACAATGCCACAGTCTCCACAGCAAATTCGGTACAATGCGCGGGGAAGCCTCAGGAAACTCAAGATTTACGTCTCAGACTCCACAGGGCTCAGTTAGGAAAGTAAATGTTAAACTTCATGAAGGCAAATTTTGAAGAAAAGTGTTTAGAAAGGCTGTCAGCAGAAAACCTCTTTTCTGTCTGGAAACCTGTGGAACAACGTCTGGTGATGTTTGTCCATAATCCACTGCAGCAGAAAACTGAACACAGCATATCAGCACAAAACTTCATATCTATTGTGAAGCACAGTGGTGGAGGGCTGATAATTTGGGCTTGTCTTGCAGCCTCGGGACATGTACACCTTTCAGTCATTAAGCTGAGCTTGAACTCCTCTACCAAATTATTCTAAAATCAAATATGAGACCATCTGTCTGATGGCTAAAGGTTGGCTGAAAGCGGACAATGATTCCAAGCACAAGAGCAAATCTACATTCAAACGGCTGAAAAAGAAAAGAATGAAAGTGCTGCGATGGCCCAGTCAAAGGGCTGTATTTGACTGTATTCGTTAAAGGGCAAGAACTGTAGCATTTGTATGACTCACTGTCAAGTAAACATTGTAGTGTAATCTGTGACTGTATAACTCACTGAGTGCAGTAACTTTTCTGTAGTTTCTCAAACACAAATGTATCTGTTTTGAAGCTTTTTAAAGGCTTTGACTGCAGACAGGAGACACAGGCACAGATGGGGAAGAATTTCAACATTTAAACACAAATGTAATCTTCTTTGTGTTTTGTGTTAATTCTGATTTTGTAACCTTAAAACCTCACAGTCGTCCTTTTGTGTCATACTTTTGGGTATTTTGAGCTAATAATTTAAGCACGTTTTGTTCATATAACTCAATTGTTAATGTTTAAAAATCACTCTTCATCAGGTTATTATATTTTCTTACCTTGAAGCCCTTTAAATACAGCTGAAGTACCTGTTCATTACAAAAACATTATCACTGTAATAGCTTTTTAACACTCAGATATGGACAGGGGTCAAAAATATTATCCAAATTTATGGACCGAAGGATTTTATTTTTACGTCCGCCCGTTGAAGCTCCTGGATAATCCCTGGCAGTGGAGCTTTGTGTCCAGTGCTCGGAGCTGCTCCAAGAACCCGTTATTGGGAGAAATGTTCCTGTTGGCGCCCACAGCTTTGATGGCGTCCACCAGAGTCATGTTCTCATGGATCATCAGGTAAGCCAGAACCAAGGTGGATGAGCGGCTGAGGCCCATTGCACAGTGGACGAAGACTTTACCTGCCAGTCAGAAGGCAGAAAATCAGACTTCCTGTGGATCATTTCAGAACGCAGCAGCCCACCAGCCTACAGCAATCAGTGGATTATTGTTGTAAAGTTTGTTCTAAATATCTAATTTGTAACTCCTCTGTGGATTAAAAACCGTGCACATCACAGGGAGGAGTACTTCTTACTCCCGACTAAAAGTTTTCAACAATGTTGCAACAAATGTTTCTACACACAGTAATCCCTGGTTCCTTATCAGGCCTGAGGATTAGGGCGCAGAGGAGCGCGTAATTGAACTGTCTTGGCTTCTGTGTATTTCTGCCGGGGATTACTGTAGGCCCCGCCACACACTGGAGCCCCCGATCAGCCAGCATGTGAAGAAGGAGGCCTCATCTTATTACTGTCATGTCAGATACTGACTTCACTTTGCATAACGGGCCAGGAAAGCACAGGCCACAAACATAATTGTGTAATTTCCATGTCCAATAAAAGTGTTGCTTACAAATTGCCAGGGCAATCCATTTAAAACCAATTTTCCTGGCCGAGGTCTGAGCTTATGAGAAGATTACCATGGGGGAAAGATATTAGCTTGATATTATGTTTAGTGTTTGATTTGCATTTTAATGACTGATACAACTGGGGTCTGCTGTAAATGGGAATTGACTGACAAATGTTTCTCTGCCTTGGCTCGTCTTCCCCGAGTTAATGTGTGAAAACGATGAAGGATACCTTGAGCGCTGTGAGAGCGCCTCACCTGTGGGAGAGCTCAAAGCGCTCTTGATGAAATTGGCCGCTGGGTAAAAGAAGGGACTCAAGTCAAAGGATGGCATGTCAAAAGCTTCGACTCCATGATAAGTGATGGCGGTGTCTCGGTAGAAGCTGGGCCCTGTGTTCACATTGAACTTCCCATCAGCTGCATTAAGCACGTGGGTGATGCGATGAGCCTGGAGAGTCCTTTTGTCTTTGGCTGCGTACCTAAAGGGAAAAATTACAATTATCTCTGCAATCAAACAAAACAAATGATGAGGATAGTGCAAAGAAAGCTAACTCGAGGAGAAGAAGGAAGATGGCAGGCAGTGGGGGAAAATGTAGATCATTAGGTTAATTAACTGAATTGTTATAATATTACATTTTATTATGAATGATACAGAGAGACTGCACAGTGCAGTGCACAAGACGCAGTCCCTGTTTTTTGCCCTTTAAGGGGGTATTTTTTTCCTCTGTGGTTACACATATAGTAATGCATATAATATATCTGTCAAATGCCCTACCTTATCCTTCTTAGAGTTTAATCAAGATCCCTTCATGCATGATATGAAAAGTAAAGAGTATGTTGTGATGTGAATCTTATGTTTCACTATATCCCAAAGGTGCTCTATTGGATCAAGATCCGGTGACTGTGGAGGTCATCCGAGTGCAGGGAACTGCTGGAAGCAGCCATCAGAACATGGGTACACTGTGGTCATAAAGGGGTGGACACGGTCAACAACAGTACTCAGGTAGCCTGTGGTGTTTAAATAATTCTCATTTGGTATTTAAGGAGACATAACATTACACTTCCACCAACAACCTGAACGTTTGATGCGAGGCAGGATGGATCTATGCTTCTAATGATTTTTATGTCCAATTCTGACCCCACCAGCCAAATGTTGCAGCAGAAATTGAGGCTCATCACACCAGGCAATATTGGTGAGTCTGTGTGAAGGGTTGCTTTCCTGTTTATAGCAGCCATGAGTGTCACCCAGTGTGGTCTTCTGCTGCTGTGGTCCTTCAGGGTTCCACATATCATGTGTTCAGAGATGCTCTTCTGCATACCTTAGTTGTAATGAGCTACTGTTACCTTGTTATCAGCTCAAAGCGCTCTTGCCATTATATTCTATATAGAATAGAATAGCCTTTATTGTCATTGTACAGAGTACAACGAAATTGGAGAAAGTTTCTATTCTAACTCTTTGGATCAACAAGACGTTTTCTCCCTACGAACTGCCGCTCACAGGATATTTTCTCTCTTTTTTGGATCATTATCTGTCAAAACTAGAGACGGTACTGTAATCACAAGACCAGCCCATCTGGCATGTCCTATGCTATGTTCAAAGTCACTTAAATCACTTTTCATCTCCATTATGATGGTCACCTTGAACTTTAGCAGGTCTTGTTGACTATGTCTGTATGCCTAAATGCACTAAGTTGCTATCACTTGATTGGCTGATTAGATAATTGCTAACAATTAGCAGGTGTACCTAAATATTCTATGATGAAGGCAAAAAACTGCCCATGTATCTAAAAATAAAAATAGACAGTATGCTACAAAACAGTATTCATAAAACAGCTACTTTTATTATTGTAAAGTTGGATGTTAGCATGTTAGCATAAGGCTACGACACACTATTCACATGGGCATTAGCACTTGGATGACTGTGTATACAGTTGTGATGAAAGCTTGTTAATGTTTTGCGCATTAGTGTGATAACCAGGTGCTTTTATAAAAAAAAGATCAATTTCAATAATGTAAAAATCATAATGGTGCCTTTAATTACACATGCACTCACAATCTGAGCCCAATTAAGAGAATACTTAATTACTTTATTACAAAAGCCGGTGGAATTATATTTAAACACATTAGCCATAGTGAATCATTTCAGTAACATGTCACTCTCACATGTCTCCGATGTAGATCCCGGGATGAACCTCATCCAGATGGTTACTGGTCCCTTTTTTTGTCCACATCAGTCTCTGAAGCTCTGAAGCTGGGGGGGTTTCATACCGGCCTTCTGCCCCCTCAGGGCTCGCCAGGCAGCCGAGGCCTCTGGGCATGTCTGAATTCTCCACTTCTGCTTTTACAACCTTTCATTAAGAAAAGAAGTGGTCGTTGCCCTGAAATTTGAACCGCGATAAAAACCGAGAACTCAATAAAAACGTATGTTTTACTGCACTTTGCCCTTTACTATAATTCAAACTTTAAGAAAGATGCTCAAAGAGTTTCAGGGTTCATCTGCATTGCCCATGAATACCAACTAACTCCACTGAAAAGCCTAATTGAAATGTACGCATCATCTTAGGAAACACCGAGAAACGACTGCTAAGTGCAGCGTGGGATTATAGCCAGGATCGTTAATTAGCAGGTTTCATATACAGGTCTGTAGCCTTTAAATACAGACTGCAATTATGACAATTAACACATTCCACAGTAGCAAAGGATCATGTGATTGTAAGCTGACCTTATGATGCTCTCATTATTGTATCTATATAGCAGCACTGGATAGATTTATTTATTTCCAGAGATGCAGAAAAATGGCATTCAATGCCTATAAACCACTTTTCATTTGCTGCAGGCAAGTCTAACCTGTGCATTTACAATTTACACACTGAGCTCTAGAGAGACTCGTACTATGCAAACTGTATGCATTAGCATCCATTTAGGCAGGTGTGTGACTGTGCTTGAGGCTGTGGACGTACAAGCGATGTGTAGGCATTGTTATCGAAAAGAAACTAACAGCAGCCGAGCTTCTTATTTGCATTCTCGCCGCGTGTGGAGACATAATGTTGCTCTCAGGGTTTTGAGACTTTTTGTCGTGTCCACAGGGATGAGTCATTGAGACCAAATCTGTTTTAGTGACCTTTTGTTTCGCTGCTGTGACATATGGAGGTTTACTCAAACATCATGTTGCCTCTATCCATCCCTGCATGTGCATTCTTGTGTGTCACACAGAACACGTGTGCATGAAGGAAATGCTGCATCTAACGCAGTGTAAGCTTCATGCATACGATTGTGTGAGCTAAATGGTGTCTTTGCACAGGTACAACATGCGCCTCGCGTACCTGGAGGCTCTTCTTTCTCCTCATTGATCTATAAGCACAACCCTTTCCTGCCTCCCACACTCAGGGGCAGAGAACTGATTTCCCTGGTGCGCATGTTGAGCTGCAGCACTGCTTTCATACCCTCTCCCCTTAGGCTAACCTGTCCTTCCTGCTCCACTTCTGTGTAATTAAAGATGCTATGTATGGGAAAGTGCCCGCGGTTAACATGGAGGGCAAATAAAAATGGCTTTTTACCTCCTCTGGGCCTCTTCTTGGTGGTTTTATGAATTACACTTCCCTCTTTAGCCTTTCAGATGTGGTTCATCTGGATTTGTAGGCCAATTAATAAAAGAAGAAAGTATCATAATCCGTCAGGCAATGCAGTATCACAGTGAATACTACTTCACAAGTACTCTGTCAACATGTTTATCTTGCAAATAAAGCTATACGGTGCAATAAATCCACACACTCATGAATATACATCGCCTACATTTATCTGTAATCAATTTGTAAGCACACATTGTTGGTTGACACTTGCCTTGGTTGGAAACGTTGCTTTTCATGGCCTCTCTGTACAACAGCTACATGTAGGTCGACAGCACAACTGCCTGTGTTCTCCTTGGTAATCTACCCTGCAACCTTTTTTGCTATTTTAACATCTGAATCTCAGCCCAAAATAATTCTGGCACCATATTCTGCATTCCTTAAAGGTTACCCGAGCTGCCAGCACAGGAGGGAGGATAGGACACGGCTTTTTCAATAGCAAGAAAATTAGATCAGAGCTGCTTGTAGCTGAGTTTAAACCTGACTTCCCTGAGCTTTTTTTCCACTTTGAACTGTGTTTGAATCAACACTCGGTCATTCGATGTAAAAAAAAAGAAATGTAGATTATGTTTTTTTCTTGGTGCACTTAAATGATAGCAGAGATTTTTTCTTAATTATATCAGCAAAAATGGGAACTTGCAATAAACCCACAATATTGACACTCTGATGAAGTTTTAAAAAGCTAAAAATATATATTTATATTGCAGAAAAATGACACAAATATAGATGGATGAGCGAATACAAACATTTCTTTGTAAAAATGTCTACATTTATTGTATGTTTTTGTAAGTACTGACAAAGTCTATATCTAGAAATTGAACGTATGAATTATAATTCTGTGTATAATACTGTACATTCTTGCTTACTGTGAATGTTTGATTCAGAGAAACATAATAATTCAAAACAGGTCGAAATCATTGGTGTCAAGCTAGATGAATGTGTGTGTACCTTTGCCTCTACAGTTGATTTCATGGGCAATCAAAAGACCTGAAACCTTTTCATGCACAGCAGTGATCAACTGCACTGCCTTGACAAATACACCAAATGAATTTCACACGCTGTGAACAGCGATGTGTTGAACAGATGCTGTTGATTGATTCCCTCTTTTCTGAGTTACCTAGAGACTCTACTAAAATGTTATGCTTTGCAAAACATGTTCCATTAGACATTTGGTCTACTCTGTTGTTGTAGAAGAAAAAACGTCTTACAAGAATGAGAAGTAAAGACTTGTCTCAGTGTTGTAAACATGCCCTGTTGTCATTTTACTTGACATTAAATTTATTTCTGCAACCAGACTCTCTTTTTGTTAAGACATAAAAAAACCCAACAACCTCGCTGCATTAAAAATCCCAGTTAGCAGGCTAATGAGGAGATGATGCAGCTTAGTCTATTATAAATGAAGATCACTGGATTTGGAGAAAGATAATTAAGCTATTTTCGTGCCAGCATCTGCTTTCGTTGGGCTCAAATGTCCATGAACAATATTGTGCGAAACCCTTGAGCCACCTCTCGTTTTGTATATTTCGATAGGAAAAACAAAATTGGTAAATTTATTGATACATGTATAAACATACATAGAGAGTTTGTACAATTCTAACGAGAAATGTATTTGCTATCACCATCATTTTCTTCTTTAACGCAACCTAAGTCAGATAAACTTTCTTTTAATATTTTCTTTAAGTAGTCTTCAGGAATAGTTCTCCAGCTGCTTCAAGGACATTTGAAGCTCTTCTTTGGATGTTGGCTGCCCTTTATTCTGTTCTCTGTCAAGATGATCCCGCTCTGCTTGAGGTCCAGGCTCTGAAGAGGCAGATCCGTGACTTATATTGTGTCTTTTTTCTATCCAGCTATGCTTTTACATCGGAGGTAGTGTTTTTAGGATCAGTGACATGCTGATGGTAATATTGATAATATTGGCTGAAATGCAGACACTCACTGTTGTTGTTCTCTCCTGACCTCCTCTATAAATACTGATGATTAAATAATAATCACTCCATTAGACCTGTTGCAGCTCATATCAGCCCAGTTCTTGTGTAATTTGGCATAACCAAGTCTTTTCTGCTTGTTTTCATCTCTTAAGAATAGTTTCTTGACAGCCACCCTTCAACTAAGACCTGAGACATGGCTTTCAGATACTGTTCATCTCATGTAGATACGTGGCTGCCACTTTTTTCACCTCACTTAATCACATTTTTAAGCACACACTGCACACAGTGCTCAGATTTGTCAAGTTTTTGGCTAACAGTCCCCTGGGAGACACCTTGTTGGTGCAAAACTTTTATATCTGTCAAAATGTGCCAGAATCAACTAAAGAAATGGGAACTGGCTGTTTAGTTTTGCAACAGGCTGCTAGTAACACAGTGCCTAACCCCCCCCAAAAAAACTTTCTTCTGAAAATGGTCAGGTTCAGTGACTGAAAATGAATGAAAAAGCAGCCAATGCCCTCTCTCTTCAGAAAGCCTGGAGAATGATTGTTTGTTCCAGAATATAAAAAATGTGAGGTAGTTCAACGCTAACATGCTGTAGTATTCAAGTATTATCATATTACTATCAGGCCTAAAATTTCACGCTTATTGACAACAGCTAGCACGCTATTAGGATCTACCATATACCAGCGGTCCCCAACCTTTTTTTATGCCTAAGACCGGTTTATGTCCGACAATATTTTCACGGACCGGCCTTTAAGGTGTCGCGGATAAATACAACAAAATAAAACCAGTACCGATACCAAAAAAAGAAAATTAATTCATAACACACGGGAAAAGACCCAGGGAAACTGAGTTAACGATAAAAACTGATAAAAACCCTGAGAACCATAAATTTCACACCTGAGCCTCAACTCTCACGGCCCGGTACCAAACAACTCACGGGTTGGGGACCGCGGGCATATACAATACGATGTCGGTATGCTAACATTAGCATGTTTATTTGCTACTCTTTAGCTTGTAATCATGTAGCATGTAATCTTTATGAGCCTGTATAGGCCTATGTTAACATTTGAAAATCTCCTTTAATATGAAACTTTGCTATCTATCTATCTATCTATCTATCTATCTATCTATCTATCTATCTATCTATCTATCTATCTATCTATCTATCTATCTATCTATC